GGCCTTTGCAGGGCTAGACAAGGAGTAGGGTAGTGTGGGGCAGGAGAGGTGGAGAAAGGAAGATGAAACAGAGAAACCCAAGCTGGCAGCTGCCCTAAAGTCCTGGCTAAGGGGGCTTTGAAGCAGGAGTTCTGGTTTGCCAGTGGGGCAGCCAGGCCAATTTTCTCCCTTCTAGGATTCCCCTCAAGGAACCCACCTGGAAGAAGAAAACTGGTCTGGCTGCTTCAGGATTTGTCATGTGATGAATTTGGGGCACCCTTTTCTGAGGTCTTCAGGTGCTTGTGTTCAGAATGGGCACTACCACCCCTTCAAGGGAAGTGAAGTTCACCTGATTAGGACTTTGTCTTGCCCATAGGGCAGGGCCTCACTATGACCTGAGAGGTGGGAACTACTCACCTTTAAAAGGGGAAAGAATATTACGGAGCACCTACTCTGTCCCAGGCTCTTTTCACACAGCAGTTCATTTAAACCTCACAGCAATCTCCAGAAGTCAGTACTAGCATAATCTTTTCATGGGTGAGACTCTGACGTTCAGAAATGAGGCGGCAAGTTCAAGGTCACACAGACAGACTTCAGAGGTTGTATTCGGAGAGGGCCCAGGACTACCCCCCCCCCCCCAGCATCCCTGTGTAAACAGACTGAGTGACTGAGCCTCAGTCAGGGATTGTTGTCCCCTACTCCCAGGTTCTGTTTCAGGCCAGATGCTGGGAAGACAAAACATCAAGCAGGCTCCACCGCTTATCTCTTTCCCACAGCTTAGGGTTTCTAGTGAGTGGACACACAGGCACCTTCCCAGGACAGCAGCAGGTGAGCTGCCTCCTCCTTTAGCCTTCACCAAGTCAGATCTTGTCTGAGGCTCTAGAACAGGACCATTAAACGGGATTTTCCTTAGAGGCTGAGAAAAGGAAATGAGAAACAAATGAGAAGGCTCATGGTCAGGAGTCAAAGAGCTGGGCCACACATGTACAGTCGTATTCTTTCAAATGGATAACCCAGAGACCACTCACCGCCAGCTCCATGCTCTCCTGGGACCTGTACTAGCTCAAGAGAAGTGGAGAGTCCGAGCTTACACACTAAAAAAGGCAGTGGAGGCAGTATAGCAGAGGCAGGCTCTGGCTTGCCAGAAGGGCCCTGGCCCCACCTCAACAAAAACTGGCATAGACCAATCTGTAAGGATGCCAATTAAGTCAGTTCTATGACTTCCAAAGTCATTAGGCTGATATAATTGGCTAGAAGTAGAGGAAACCAAGGGATTAAAGAAGACAATACTGCTGTTCCAGATGTTTCTTCCTGAGCTCTGCTCAAATCACTTGCTCCCCTAACAGGAAGCCAATGCCCACAGGATCCCAAAAAGTGTAACTCCTGACTCATCTGGCCTACATACTGAGCAGACGGAGGCAGGGTGGGAGCTCCAGCCTCAGGCTAGTGCTGACAATCACTTGGAAAAAGGAGAGGAGGGTTAGGGATTCACCTCTCCAGCTACCAGGGATTTAATTTACGCCCTTTCCCCCTCCTGACCAACTTTCAGCTGCAGAAGGACCATCAGACAGGTCACTCTTCCCCCTCAAGAGACGGAAGGATAACGTCACTCCTCCCTTCCCACCCTTCCCTGCTCAGAACACCTGGTCTTCCTGGGGTTTTACTACCCAGCTAAGTCTTGGGCTAACCCAGAACTAATGCTGCCAGGGCCTCTGTCTGTGATTGTGCCACCCACAGGGTCATTCATGGGCTAGTTGCTTTCTTCCCTTTGGCTACTGCTCAAGAGAAGACAGGGAACAATTCAGTTCCACTAACGGTTCCCTCCAGAGCAGGCTGAATGACAAGATGGAAAAGTGTAACAGCACAGGGAACTCTGGTTCAGGCCAGACGGAAAAAGCAGGGCTAATACTTGTTTCACATTCATCTGTACGACAGTGGCCACCTCTAAGTTCACGTCTAGTTTTCTGACTTGGTACATCTATCAGTAAAGCATTTAATTAATACATATGGAGCATTTATTCCACCGCAGACCTGAGGAGAGCAAGAGGTGAACAAGGCTGGTTGGTCCAGTCTTAAACCAATTAGACTAATGACAACACACTCTTTTCCTTTCTGGCCATTCCTGTTAGCCTCCTACACTGTCAAGGGTGTAAGGAGTGCGGAGGAAGCAAGGAAAGGCGATGGCAGGCAGATTCCTGGGAGTTATCTTCAGTTTTACCTGCCTGCCTGCCTGCCTGCCTGCCTGCCTGCCTGCCTGCCTGCCTGCCTGCCTGCCAACCGATTTCCTGCTGGGGATGAAGGGCCACAGTTATGGATGGTGAAGCCGATCATGACCTTGGATTCTAACATCCTGGATCCAAATTCTAGTTCTGCTGTAATATGCTAAGTGAACTTAAGCAAGTTTTTGCTTCTCTAGCATGTTTTATCTTCTGGACACAGGCTATACTGGACAATCTCTTAAGATCCATTGCAGCTTAGCCTACAATTTTATTATATCCTTTAGGCCAAAATGCAACAGACATCAGAATGAGGAAGCCTCTGAATTCCTTCCCATTCCCACAGCCTTTGGCAACTACCAAAACTGACCTATATTGAGACAACCTTTGACCCAGAGTGTCTGAAATGGACCTTTAATCTGGAGACAGAGTCCCCATCATCTCCACTGCAGGACATTTGTGCTAATGTTTCACTTCTCTGGGATGGCACATGGACTCCTAGCCCTCAACCACGAGACTAGGTTCAGGGCGGTCACCCTGAAACTTCCCACAACTTCCCCTCTATGGCCTTGGGCAGGGACTTACTTTTGGCTTTTTTAGAACCACAGTATAAACTAAATAAGGAAGATCCAAGCTTTCTGATTCCAGAGATCTTGCTAACTGACAAGCTGAAGGGAGACAGAAGTAGATCGGGGCTTTCATTCAGCCGCGGCCTCCCAGACGCTGGAGATGTGGAAGGCATCTGCAGAGTCACATGCCAGGTTTGTAGTCGGAGGGTGGAGAAGATAGACATCTGGCTGCCTGGTTGGGGATGAGAGCCAAAGGGAGGTGCTCCTGTTGGGCGACTCTTCCCACAAATACCAGAGGTACGCCCTCATTTTTCTCTTCATTTCTCAGACCCTTAGAAGGAGAAAGAAAGCTATTTCTTTGGCTATTACTTGTGCCAGGCAAAGTGCTGGGTGATTTCATGTATTAGATTTTCATTTTTCTCAGTAGCATTGGATTAATTTTACCCTTGAATAAACAGGTTAGGGATTCAAGATCTGCCCAAGGTCACACAGCCAACAAGTATGACCCCTAAGTCTGGCCCTTCTTCACTTTATGCATCGTCCTGTACCCTGAAATCTGGTTAAATGCCCAATAGGCATGGAAGAATTCTCATGCTTTACAATGTATCAGCAAATCTAACCTGTTGCTTCCAAGACCCCACAAATAAAACTGAATCCCTTCCTACCCCAAGACCTCACCACCCCAGGCACCTGATCCCTAATGCCTGTACCCTAAATACACTCTACATGACGCTCACACCAAGGAAACTAGGACGGAGTCAGGGTGAAGGGTGAGAATCAGGGGTTCTCCCAGTTTTGGACTGGACAAGGCTTAGCCTAATGTGAGCAAGTCTGGAGGGGGTGGTGGAGACAGCTCCAGTGGGTGGGAGGAAACTCCTTCTGGGCAGAAGCCTGGATTTGTAAGATTCTCCTCCTAAGGAGGAGGAGACCTGGGGAATAAGAGACTCTTGGAGGGGAGGGGAGTTGTGATGATATGGAACTGACATTTATATGGGACAGCTTTACAGAATGGGTTTCTTAAGATAGTCAAGTACTTCTGTAAATCCCAGGAATAGCTGGGGACACCTTGGGCAGTCACACCTAGTCAGAAGAGGGGGAGGATATATTCTGGAGTAAGGCTCTCCTGGTGACGGTCTCTAGAAACTGGGAAGCACACTCACTATGGGAGGAGGCTCGCCAGCTCTCTGTATGGCACTAGTCTCACACTACAGGCCAACTGGGATGTAAGTGCGATCTAGAGGCCATCTTCCTGAGGGGCCCACCACATTAGACTCTCAAGTCTCTAGAGGACTGACTTCCAGGGGTTCTGTGGGGCAGACGGCTGTATAGTCCAGCATGCTCATCTTGGAGGGAAGGTGCTACTCCACTGTCTCACCTTTTCCTAATGGTCAGTGGGGTACCTGGGTGCTCAAGGGTGGGGTGCCCCATGAGTGGGGATCCTGCTGTGTCCCTCCTTCTCCTGCCCTACATCTGGAGTTGGGAAGAAAGTATGCATGCACACGGCAGCCTGGGAGTCTGCTGGCTGGCTCCTGTGGTGATGACGCCGACAGGGAGTCCTAGCGCTGAGGGGCTGTCACCCTAAAATTACTAGGAAGGGCGAGTGTCTGCTCACCTGTTGCCTGTGACAATGGACAAAGATGCCTTTTGGCAGAAGGTCTGTGTGTGAGAGAAACAGACACTCTTTGACCTTTCCATGATGGAAAGAAACTGTAGGTGATAAGACGGGTCTGAGAGTGAGCTGGCCAGTGTCAACGTGTCTACGTATCGTGATATAAGGTTTGTGTGACCTGGGGTGGGGCCAGTCGGGAGTCCTGAAGTCGACCTAAGATTTCCTGGGATGGGGATCCTGAGAGGGTGAGACAAGGATTCTGTGGGGTAAGGGAGAGGTGGAGAACAGCTATGGGGAAAGTAAGGGACAGCCATCTGTGCGCATGTCAGGGGGTGGCAAAGTCAATCAGCCTAAGGACCAGGGTGACCTAGTGTGAGTCTAGTGGTGTTGGTGGCTATCCCCCAGTCGCGAGGGCAATGTGAGTCTCTTGGAGGGAGCAGATCATTCGATCAGGGGGTTACCGGCGTGGGGACCGGGAGGAAGGGGGTGGCCTGTCTGTCCGACGTAGGTAGGAAGTAGACTCCGCTTGGGGCGGGTCCGTGGGGATGGGGCAGTGGAGACACGTTGGTGGGTCAGGCCCACGCCTGCGCTGGTCCCGCGCCCGGCCCAGACCCCAGCTCTACTCACGCGCCCTCGGCGCCCTGCGAACCCACGATGAAGCCGAACTTGTCGATGCGACGCTCGGCGAAGCCGTTGGCCTCCGAGTCGGAGCCGACCGAGCTGAGCTCGTCGGCGGTGGCGGCATCGGGGCCCTGGGCCAGGCTCTCCCGGGTCCCGGACAGGCTCCCGCCCGCTGTGGGCGCGCGCGGCCCATTCTCTCGGCTGCTCTTCGCCATCCCGGCCGCGCCCGCCACCAGAGCGCCAGCGGCCACCTCAGCCGCTCGGCCTCTGCCGACGCTGCCGACGCCCCGCCCACGCCCCGCGCCCATTGGCTGCCGAAAAGCTGGGGGCGGCTCCCCAGGGAGCTCCCACCAGGCGCCCAATGGGTGCCGAGGGGCCCGGGCCCCGCCCCTCTTCCAGGCTGGCGCCAACTGGACCGACGTGAGGGGGCGGGACAACCGTGACCACGGACCCTCCTTCCCTGGCTGCCAATCACACAAACTCACCTGGACGAGCTCTTCTGGCTTTTCCGGGTTGGCCCGGCGCTGGCGTGTCACCTGCTGCGGCTCTCGGGACAAAGGCCCAGGGCTTCTCCGGAGGTCCCGCCCGCCTCTGCCTCCTTGGGCCCGGTCCTTGCGAAACAGGGTCGCGGGTGGGGCTGCTTCACCCTTTCATTTACAATGATCAGAAGCTAGTGGGTTTAGGTATCACCTTGCTGCTGTTTAGGGGCGTTTAAATTAGCTCGTGGGAGACGCTATAAGAATAATACAGAGCAGGGCGGTGGTGGTGCACGCCTTTAATCCCAGTACTCAGGAGGCAGAGGCAGGTGGATCTCTGAGCTCGAGGCCAGCCTGGTCTACAAAAGCTAGTTCCAGGACAGGCTCCAAAGCTACAGAGAAACCCTGTCTCGAAAAAGGAAAAAAAAAAAAAAAAATACAGAGCCGGGCGTGGTGGCACACGCCTTTAATCCCAGTACTCGGGAAGAGGCAGAGGCAGGCGGATCTCTCTGAGTTCGAGGCTAGCCTGGTCTACAAAGTGAGTTCCATCCAGAACAGAGAACCCGTCTCAGGGGGGAAAAAAAGAAAAAAGAAACAACAAAAACAAACCTGGCCTAAGCTCTACTTTCCCTTGTAATCTTTTTCCGTCCCAACACCTTTTTTGGTGAAGGTTGATTTGTATTGTTTTGAGATAGGGTCTCCAGACCCTATGTAGCCCAGGGCCCTCCCTAGTCTCCCAAGTGCTGGGATTACAGGTGTGGGCCACCATGACTGGCTCCCCTAATGATTTTATTGAGATACGACTAACATACCCCAAATCTGTTTAAAGTGGAGTTTCTAGATTTGAATTCCATCACCCTATCCACTCATTCACACATGCACCAATAAATATAAATTAATGCATGTCTATAATCTCAGCACTCAGTAAACTAAAACATGATGAGTTTCTGGGCTGACTTGGCTACAAAGGCCTTAACGCAAATAAATAGTACAATACCATGGTTCTTTTGCATCCTTAGAGTTATGCAAACACTGCAATCCAATTTTCGAACATTTTTATTGTCCAAAAGAAATTACTATTCAATGGTCACTCTCAGTCTTCCTCGCCATCTCTCACAACCACTACTCTACTTTGTGCCTACAGATTTGCTTTCTAGACATCACAATTATCTGTGGTTAGCCATCATTTTGTGTGTCCAGTTTTCTGAGAGGGTTTTGTCTTATGATACAGGCTAGCCTTAAGCTTTTTGTTGCTTCTAAGATACATCTATATTTGAGTGCTTCTTAGTGCTTTAGTCTTTTCATGGCTGAAATTATACTCATTGTATGGACATACCATATTTATACAGTATTCATCAGTGAGAGTCATTTGATGCTTTTTCTTTTTCTATTTGGAATAATGTTGTTTGATCAGGGAACATATTTCATTTTTCCTAGAACTTCCTAGGAGTGGAATTTCTAGGTTTTAATGGTAACTCTGGCTAAACTTTAAAAAAATAATCTCAGTACTCAAGCGGCAGAATTCTGCAAGTTTGATCCCAGTCTGGTCTACAGTGTGGGTTCCAGGACTGCCAGGGCTACATGGAGAAACCCTGTCTTGGGAAAACCAAAAACAATAAATAAGTAGTGTGTATGCATGTGCTCATGCATGGCATATGTGCAAAAGTCAGAGACAATTATGAAGAGTCATTTTCCTTCTACCTCACCGATTCTGGGTATCAAACGTAGGTCATCAGGCATGGGCCTTTTACCTGCTGAACCATGACAGCCTGTTTAACCTTTTTGAGTAACTGGTAAATTGCTTTCTAAATTGGTTATGCCATCTCTTGTAATCTTTTAGTAATTTTACCTACAGGTATGTAAATTGAGGCTCTATGAAATAGTCAGTTGCATAGGGTCCCAAACTAGTTTGACAGTCTCAGACATGACCTGTTCTCACAATATGCTTGTATTTGAAGAATTGAGCCAATTAAACTTCTATGGACTTAACCCCAGCATCCAACTTCCAGCCCTAGAGATCATCAACTCTTAGAATGGTTCCTCATCCATCTAGTATTCTATGGTTTACCACAGTGGCATTTGACACTCTTAACAACTAAGGAGGGAGACAGTCTGAGCTACCAGGGTCTGAAACAAGCTCCAAGAAAGGGGTTTAGCCTCGAGTGAGTGACTCACCAGCCATTTTCTTGATGCCACATGGCCAGAAATTCTTTTTTTTTTTTTTTTTTTTTTTTTTCGAGACAGGGTTTCTCTGTGGTTTTGGAGCCTGTCCTGGAACTAGCTCTTGTAGACCAGGCTGGTCTCGAACTCACAGAGATCCGCCTGCCTCTGCCTCCCGAGTGCTGGGATTAAAGGCGTGCGCCACCACCGCCCGGCTCCAGAAATTCTTAAGAGACCTGTAGTCTGCATTCCATTTGCATTCAGTTTTCCACAAAAAGAACAACAGCAGACATGGGAGCAGGCACAGGCCATTTTGCTCTTAAACCCTATCTGGGAAGGCATTCCTCCTTTCCAATGGCTGAACACAGCTCCCAGGAGGCAGTGGGTCTATTCCAGGATAGGAGGAACCAGATATATCCACTTTGACCTAACAATGCTGGTCCTAAGATTCTTTCCAAAACATGCTACCATTCTGTCCTGTAATGTACCCGACAAAAGCAACCAGGGAGAGATGTTCATTCATTTGGGACACACAGCTTAAGGGTCCAGTCCATTATCATGGTGAGGTAGCTCTACTTGTTCGAGACAAGTCTCACCATGTAACCCTTGGGATACAAGGTATGTGCCACCAGCTCCTTTGTCTTTTTCCGTTTTATTTAGTACTGGACATCAGCCCATGGAATGGTGCCCTTCACATTCACAATTGGTCTTCCTCCCTCTTCAGTTCAACCTTTCTGGAAACCTCACAGACATGACCACAGGTGTCTCCTAACTCCAAATCCAGTCAAGTTGACAGTGACACAGATACCCAGAGATCTCAGACCAAGGGTACCTGTCTTTTAGAAACATGACAGACTGTAGTTGATGACTTAATTCTGAAGCTTTTTCTTCTTTTGAGCCAAGGTCTATGTTACCTAGGCTGGCCTCCAACTCCAGGGCTCAAGCAATTGCCCTGCCTATCCAAGTTCAAGTAGTTGGGACCAGGTAGGCACTACCATGCATGGCTTCTTTTAGACCATTTCTTCATTAGTAAAATGGAATACTGGAAAGAAGCAAAAACAAATGCTTACTTATTTTGAGATTGTAGTGTGACATGTTCTTAAGCACTTGCTTAAGGAAAATTCCCAGTAACAATGGGCAGAGGTGACAGAATTCATCAATTTCATGAGTCCACTATAGCCTACAGCTATAGCACTGAAGTTAACAGCTTAATCCAAAGCATGTGGATTGCTTCACACCTGTCCTAAATTACCATGTCCCCTTGTGTAAATTTATTTAACTTTAAGAACACCATTTTTCCTCTTCTGAAAAAATTGGAATGTTACTAATTACTTGGTGAGCCAGTGTTAGTTTATGCGTGTCTGGGTAGATATGCACACAAATGCATGTGGGTGCGAGTGAAAAGCCAGATGTTCTTGTAAAATGTCTTCCTCAATTATACCCCACCTTATTTTCTGAAATAGTCTCTCAACGAACTTACCAGTTCAGTTAGATTGGCTGGCCAGTCAGCTCCAGAACCTGTCCTGTTTCTGCCTTCCTAGTGTAGACATAACATGGTGGGGATTGTTTTATGTGTGTAGGGACCTTAGCTAACTCAGGTTCTCTAGCTTATTTGGTAAGTGCTCTCCCAACTGAACCATCGCTCTACCTCCCAATGTTAATTTCTTTAACACCAGAGCATTGTCAAAATTTTTTGCTTTTGTTTTTTGGAGATAGGATTTCTCCTGAAACAGTCCTGGCTGTCCTGGAACTCGCTTTGTAGACCAGGGTGACCTCAAACTCACATGGATCCACATGCCTTTACCTCCCAAGTACTGGGAGCACCACCACCACTCGGTTAAGTTTTTTTTTTTTTTTTAATGTCTTTAAAATTTATGTCTGTGTATACAGGTGCCCCTCAGGTCAGCTGGAGTAATCGGCAGTTGTGACCAATGTGGGAAGGATGATGGGAACTAACCTAGGATCCTCTGAAAGAGCAGCAATCTTCAAGCACTGTATGACTGTAGTGAATGGGGTTGGCTGTTCCATGGCTGTTGTACCCATGAACTCACAGCACAAGGCCTGCTGGAAACGGGCCTACCAATATTCCATCATGGATGGGGAAGAACGGTTATAAGGTCCCACCCTCCCTGAGGATCTAGAGGCAGCTAACAGTTGTTTGGGTAGAGAGGAATAGTCTTTAGTGGTATAGCCACTGTTACGTTGTTGCCCTTGATCAAATACACAACCTTAATTAAATGCAATGACATAACACACATACACACACAAACATGAGAGGAAACTTGTTGGGAAGAGTGTTTGCTGGGAGGAGAGAATGATGATAATGGAGGGCATATGACCAAAGCATACACACACACACACACACACACACACACACACACATATTAGCTTTCTTTTTGGTTTTCGAGATAGGATTTCTCTGTGTAAAAATGCTGGCTATCCTGGAGACCAGGTTCGTTGGCCTCAAACTCATAGATCTGCCTGCCTCTGCCTCCTGAGTGCTGAGATTAAAGGAGTGTGTCACCACACCTATTTTACATTTTTTAAATGAAATTAAAAAGCAAAACTTTAAAAACTCAAAAAAAAAAAAAAAAAGGTAAGCACTTTTTAAACTTGCAATGTTGTAGGATGTGCAGTGCCAGCAAACAACAT